AAGTTCCAAGAGAGGTGCTTTGGAGAGTTCTAGAAAAGAAATAGTTAATAATACTTATATTCAAGTCATTAATGATATATATACATCAATTGTTATTTGTGTTTAAACATAATGTGGTATAACTAGATATTTTACTATTTTAGTTGGGTTATATCAAGGATCATTTTGAAGCCCATATCTTTTTGGTTTATTCATGGATGTTCTTACTAGGCATTTGCAAGAGGATGTACATTGGTGTATGCTTTTTGCTGTTGATATTCTTCTTGTTGATAAGATTAGAGAGGGAGTTGATGGAAAGCTTGAATTATGGAGGTCAACCTTAGAGTCTAAAAATTTCATTTGAGTAGCAGTAGATCTAAAACCGAGTACATGGAGTGTAATTTTAATAGTAATAGATCAAGTGGTAGAATTGTGACATTGGGTGATTAAGTCATTAAAAAGAGTGCACGTTGTAGATATATCAGATCTATTGCTTAGAGTGATGGTGAAATAGATGGATATATTATTATTAGAATTTAAGTTGGATGGTTGAAGTAGAGGAATACATCGAGCCTGTTGTGTGATAGAAAAGTATCCCTCAAATTTAAGAGAAAATTTACAAGATGGTAGTGAGACCTGCAATGCTTTATGGCACAAAATGTTGGTCATAAGTTTTGCAAAGATGAGAATGCTCATATGGATGAGTGGCTTTACGCTTAGATAAAAAAATGCTAAATGAGTATATTTCTAAAAAGGTTGGAGTAGCTTCAGTGTTAAATAAGATTAGAGAGAGTTGCCTTAGATGGTTTAGTGACATAAAATGATGGTTTTTTTATGACATAAAATATTTTTTTTTAAATTGAGTAGATGTATTAGATTCAACCTATGTTAAGAAAGCTAGAGGTAGACCAAAAAAGACTTTGTTAGAAAGCATTAAAAATAATCTTTTTATATCAAATATAAATGAAAATTTGACTCTTGATAGGACACAATGGAGAAAAAAGATTTATGTAATTGGTCTTACGTGATGGGATAAAGGCTTGTTGTTGTGGTAGTTAGCCTTTTTTTATGTTGTCTTTGACATTGGAAGGGTACAAAAAATCAAATATAGGAACTTGATTTATTTGTCTTGTAGCACATTAGGATAATTCTCATGAAACAATCACAAAAACATTGAGCTTCATTGGCACACTAATTGAAATGTCATGATTATCCAATGTCCAATATGAGCTAGATAGCCGATTCAACCAAGATCAAGCGTCTTCTACCCTAGGATCAATAGTAGGATGAGCTACGTGGGCAAATATTTTTTGATTGGATGAGTGCTAAGAGGATTTGTAGTAGTTAAGGAATAGCAGATAGAAATACTATGGGATAAGCTATGCTTGATTTCGTAGTAGTGATGTGAAACATACATGCGAGGATGAGTTACTTAATGAATTTACACGCTTAATTTTTAGAAACCACAATAATTATATATTTGCATTGATTTTGAACGACAAAAGAAAACACAAAGAGCGGTAAGACAAGCTTAGGCTAAATCACTTACATAGAGGTTGAGATCGTAAAAAATTAATTTAATATAACGTTGCATACATGAATGGTTTCAACAATAAATCCCAATGCTAATAAAAGATTAGTCTCTACAAGAAAATCCCTCAATAAACTCTTCCAATTTCTAGGCATTAGCGGAGGACTAACATGATCTCGGTGAATCAATTTATTCCATAATTGAAAGTAATTAGGAAAATAAAAGAGCGGGGGAAAGAGTTCACCGAATCCTGGTTTGGGGCTTTGGGGGCAGCACCTAGAAGGTCTTTCCGGTTAAGACAGTCGCATCCTTTGGCTGAATTTCATCTGGACAGCAACCCGGATCTTGTTCGGCGATGGGACAGTAGCTGGAGGACTTGGGAACAGCAGAACTGCTGTTTCTGTTGCTGTAGTTCTTCTGGACAGCATCTTCCCATGTTCTGAGTCTCATGGCAGCACTTAGAACTTGTCCATAATTTTGGACAGCACGCTGGAGAGGAGAAATTCAGGATTTGCCACCTTCTAGATGCACAAAAGCTGGGGGAATGTGGTGGGGAGTTTTGTGGACATCTTTGGGAATAATGTTAGAATTTAATTACTTGCTTAGGTGGCACGTGTTGTTAAATTCCCAATTCAAATAGGAGAGTGGGAGTTGGGAGAGTGGGGCGGTTTGGATGAAGGAGGATTGGTTAGGTTGGAGAGGGGGAGGGAAAGTTTTAACCAAATCGGAAATTAATTTCAGATTCTAGATAGATTTGGAGGGTCTTAATTTGAAATTTGAATTCAAATTAAAGTGTGATTGGGAGCCTTAATATGAAGCAATGGGGAAACCGAGGTGGTGGTCGGGTATGGGAAAATGAGGGGTTGGTGGAAGAGGGAGCAATCCGGCGGCGGGGAAGAGGGGGAGGGTCGGAGGAGATGAGAGGAACAAAAAAATAAAAAAATAAAGCCGCGAACCTTGGACCCTTCCAATAGTTGACGGGTATTGCGATTGCCCACACCTTGGGTCTTCCTTCTTCTCTCAAACACTCAACATTGAGGGAGACAAAGAGAAATCTGAATTTTCAATAATCAATTATCACCCTAAACCCTAACTTAATTTCAAATAGTTTCCTAAACCCTCATGAAAAGAAAAATAGCAAAGACTAAAACGCCCTTCGGGCTACAACACCACATGATCACCCCTAGGGGTAAAATGGGAAAATTGGAAAAATATAAAATATAAAATAAACTAGTACATAAGAATTTCAAAAAATAAAATAAACTCCAGATCGTAGCCGTTGATCTTCCGATGTTCTCATCAAGTAGCTTATAAGAGAATTGATAGTAGCTACGGGTAGAAAATAGAAATGTAATGGGAGAAGCTATACATTATTTATTGTCTATAAAGTTATAATAGTAAACACATGTTTAAAGAAATGAGAAGAACACATGGTACTCATAAAAGTGGAGTCACTATATAATAAATAAATAATTACTTGTAAAGAAAAAATTTCTGTTGATTACAACATAGAGTAGTCAAGATGAATATATATATTGAGAGTATAAAGAAATTTTATCAAAAGAAAGTATTACTCTATATTAATGTAGTGTAATTTAAAAGGTGAGAAATTGATACTTTTTGATATAGGGATTCTTTATTTTGGCCAAATTCAATGTGGAATAAGATGACTAATTCCATTAAGCGGATTTTTATAGAAATTTTAGGAGAGTTTATAAATAGATCATACACTGATATGAAGATTTGGTGGAGTGATGGGATAAGTTGACTAATTCCTCGGTACTAGGTGTTTTAAAGGAAAAGAAATGCGCTTTAAAAGTGTCAAAGATTGAATAATATTGATACCAAGGTTTATAATGATTATAAGAAGGCTATAAGTTTTAAAGTAACGGTAGTGAGTTTAGAAAAACTATAATTTTAATGATTTATATAATAAGCTTGTTGCTAAGAAGAAAATTAGATATATAAAATAGCCAAGATGAGATACATTAAAAATCTTCGTTAAAGTTGTAGACATCAAAGAAAGATGAAAGTCTTATTATGAGAAATCACTAAATGAGAGTTTTAATGAAGAAATTATTTTTGGCAGAGCATGATAAATATTATAATGTAATGAAGTATATTAAAAGTTAATTCATAGTAGTGTAATGAAATTGGCTCTAAAAATGCATTAATATAAGACATTTGATTTAGATGAGATACCTTCTAAGATCTGGAGAGTTATCTGCTATATTATATTGATTTGTTTTACAAATATTTTCAATAGAATTTTGAAGATTAGGTTGATGCCAAATAATTAAACAAGAAGCATTTTGGTATTTTGATTATGAACCATGATGATGTTAAGATTGCGCTAAATATAAAGGAATTAAATTTATGATTCATATTGAAGTTATAGGAGAGTAATAGAATAAAGACCTAGAAATATTACATCAGTGAGAACCAATTTGATTTCATATTAGGAAGATCTATTATGAAAGCAATTCTGTTAAAGCAATTTATAGAAATGTGTAGGGAATAAAGAAAAGTCATATTTTTATTGATTTGGAGGATGCATGTGATTATCTTGGTAATTGATTTGGCTCAAATATAAGTAGAAGGGTATCTACAATAAGTCTATATTTATTTTTGTATTAATTATGAAGGTATTTACAATGTATTTGCAAAGAAATATATCCTGGTTTATGTTTTTTTGTAAATAACGTATTTCAAATTGGCAAGAAATCCCCAATCAAATAAGTGAATAATTAGAATATTAGAGGAAATGTTTAGAGGATAGAGGCCTTATAATTAGTAGAAAAAAGATTGAATATATGATATGTAATTTTAGTTGGTATGATTTTCACATTTATTGTTTACTATTATAGAATATTTAGTGATATGTATGTATGATAGATTTTAGTATCTTTGATCAATTATACAGAAGAATGGTTTTTTTTTTTAATTTTTTTTTTATATAGAAGAATGGTAATATAGTTGAGGATAAAATTTTTTGAATTATGATTCAAGGATTAAAATGGAGAAGCACCTTAGGAGTTTTGTATTATAAGATGATATAATAGAGGCTTACAGATAAATTTATAAAACATTTAGTAAGTCGATAATGTTGTATGGGTTTAAATATTTGGATGTATAAAAAACATTGATAGGCCGAATGTTATAAGAATTAAAAATATATGAAGGATGTTTGGCAAAATTAGGAAGGAATGGCCATATTAAAGTGAAATTTGGAGTAAAATTTATTGAAGAGAAGATGACTGAAAAAATACTTAGGTGGTTTGAGCATGTATAATGAACTATTAAAATACTTTCTTTAGGCAATTAGGTCAAATTGGTGTGAGGATTAGGAAGCAAAAAGGGCTATATGCAAGGCTGTTCTTAATGATGACCTATGTACTTATTTGAATTTTGCAACCAGTGGTATCTGCACTTTTATATTTACCATAAAAATGCATTTGTGCATTTCTCTTATTTACAAATTTTGTTTCAGGTTGTTAATGACTTACTAAATCCTGCTGGTCAGAATTTGAGAATTAGGGAAGACCTTCAGGTAGGCTTTATATATTTGTTTGTTTAATTGACTTTTATTATTACTGTTTCTGGTCTGATTTGCTTTTAACACTTGTTATTGATCCTGTTTAAATTGCTAGCATCTCTTTACTCAAGGTTGCACAACTAATAACCTTAAAACTACGAAGTTTATGCTCTTTAGTTTTGCTAAAACAAACTCAGTATGCGACATTCACTATTAAGTCATAAATGCAAGAAATTGGGTTTGCAAAAATTCTCAATACATATCAATCATGGCGTAAATATATAATACTTATTTTGACTATTCCTTCTTCTAAATCGATTATATGCTACAAAGATTGGCTTCAACTAACAATTATTAAATAATAATAAACAACATGCTAATAATATGAGAGGTGTATGCAAATGCTAAAATAACAAAGAGCATTTATGCCATACTTACAAATTTAAAGGGACATCTCATTGAATTCCCATCAATATTAGTTTCATATAGCTTAGTGTTGGTCTCTCTTAATACCCTACCTTTTTTTTCATTTTACATTGCATTCATTTTACTTAAAAAAAAAGTAATATCCTGCATTTCTTTTATAATCATCCAAATAACTCTAAAATATTTCTTTTACATTATATTCTTTTTTCAGGCAACCAAACAAGCCCTTAATGAAGATTAAATGTACTATCTCATGTTAATTTACATCATAAGCGTCTTGTTTGAACATCTTTAATATTTTAAGTAGAGCCATTTTGTACAAGTTGATCCCAGTATTTACCATACGGTGTGTTCTTATTCTTATGTTTCTATTTTTATGCTTACTTTCCTGATTTAATATGTTGTATTGGCGAATTTCTATGTTTACCAGGGCACTTTTGTTGAGGGTATCAAAGAGGAAGTCGTATTATCCCCTGCTCATGCTCTTTCTCTTATAGCGGCAGGAGAAGGTGAGGTTTTTGTTGAGCATAAGTATGCTGATTAAATATGAAATTTATGGTGAAATGTACGGCCTTATTGATGAATGAATTTTTTATTACTGAGTCATACTTTTGAAATCAATAATCCTAAAAACCTTTGACATGATTCTTTTGTTATTGTGTGATCAATAATTATGATGCTTTTAGGAGTTCATCAGCATCATGGGGTTATTATTGCATGCACAGCCATATTTATGCAGGCTTCTTCACAGAAGGCAAGTTTGGTTAGGGTAAACCAAAGATTAAACCCAACTTCATTTGTTCACCTGGTAAATCTGCTCATTCATATAACATTTCTGACTTTTCGATAGGGGATCTTGGTTCTAATGTTTTGGCTTGTTCAGTCCCAACCAAACCAACTTAGGTAAATATTACATGCAATGATGGTATGGAAAGGGGGACTGAACTAAGAAAATGAGAGTAACATTGATGGTTTAGGCATTAAATATTTATGAATATGACATGCAATGATGTTATGAAAGGGGTGATTGAACTAAGAAAATGAGAGTGGCATCGATAGTTTTAAGGCATATGATCAAATATTATGAGCACAATTAATTTGGTGGGAATGCATTTATAGTATGTTTAAGTTTTGGAGTGATCGAAGAATTTCTAACCACTTTTAGGCTACATCAAAGGTTAAATATGATGTATGTATTCTCCTTTGTAATGTTGGATGAACTTATATTGAAAGCTAGACATCATAAATTGTGCTATTCACATATTTGATAATTCTTTGTCTAATTATGAATAAATGAAAAATTAATGTAATTCTGCAAAAGTTTTAGTAGATAAGGGCTTATGATTTAGTGAATAGAAAATTATATAGTCTACTTTATAATGGTTAAGAATTATGTGACACTTGGCTATGACACATTTATTTTGAGAATTATGATATATTGACATAATTTGCCAGTAGAGTCAATATTGGGCATTGAATTGGAGAGGAGAGTTTGGGATATTGCGTATGAGGACAATATAACGGTGCCTTAATGGATGATTTATGCAATATGACATTATGTAGTGATAATCTGAGTGTTAGGTGTGAAGTCATTTACAAGTAGGTTGAGTTTTGTAGAAATGCAAATGCATGGAAAAAACCTTAGAATGATAGAGAGCAAAAGCATATATATTTGTGAGCTTCTGGAAGTACAGCCTTTTGAAGTGAAGTTTATAGATTTGTAAGCGAGTGGACTTCAAACCTCTAAAGCAAGGCATAGAATAAAGTCAAAAGTAATAAGAAGGAAAAAGGGTAGAATATGTGTCACATCATGTTAAAAAAAGTGTAAAATAGAATGAAAATCTTATGCATACTTAGTTGAATTGAACTTGAAAGGGCTTGTAAAGTTGATTGTGGATATTTATTATAAAGCATATAATATCAATGACATAATTACTATTCACTTAAGTTTACTTATTGGCAGCACAAGTTTGTTAGAATAATCTTCCTTTGGATAGGTTTGTGGTTGCTCTGGGATGCCATTTTTATCAATAACTCTGCTTTTCTTTCATACTCAACCATTATTTCTTCCCTGCTTAACGTCTCCATTTTTATTCCTTCTTTTTCTTCTAACCTTTTTTACTTGTCTTTCCTATTTCTCTTTCAAAAATTTCTTTGCTGCTGTTAATCTATTCTTCTTGTTTCTGAAACTTTTATGCACAGATACCCATTAGAGTTGTTTGTAATTTCATTAAAGTCCACGATCATTAATGTCTATAGTTTATTGGATGCTACATTGTTTATTATGAAAATATTATGTCTTAGCTTAATTATTTTTATTGTCTTTCTTGTTCTTGATTCTACAATATTATGTTGCCATTATTTGCTCAATGCATTTGAGATAGTTTCCAAGTGAATCTAAATTTATATATTGGTTTGTTATTAAGAATGTTATGCATAAATTTTAGTTGAGTTGTGGCACGGAGCTATCATCATTGGCCTCATCCCAAGTCCAATCTATTTGGTGACGGTTTTATGAGTTATCATTCTCTAGTTGTTATGTTAAGTGCTGAATATGGTGTTAAATCCATGCACAACATCTTTTTGCACAATTATATCTTTGCTAAGTTTAGTTTACCTCACTTCTTTTCTATTTGTTCTGTAGCAACAATAACAACAACAACAACATCAAGCCTTTGTCCCACTACGTGGGGTCGGCTACATGAATCCTTTTTCGCCATTGTGTCTTGTTAAAAGTCAAATTCTCATTTAAATCTAATTAAGAAAGATAATTTCTAATATTTTCTAACCAAGTCTTTTTAGATCTACCTCTACCTTTTTTAACATAAATCAAATCTAATACCTCAACTTTCCTAACCGGGTCATCGGAAGGCCTCCGTTTAATGTGACTAAACCATCTAAGGCTACTCTCTCTAATCTTTTCTTCCACTGGAGCTACTCCAACCTTTTCACATAATATGCTCATTTCGTATCCTATCTTTAAGGGTAAAGCCACTCATCCACCTAAGCATCCGCATCTCTGCAACACTTAACTTAGCATTATGCTTCTCTTTTAGTGGCCAACATTCAACACCATAAAGCATTGCAGGTCTCACCACCATCTTATAGAATTTTCCCTCAAGTTTGAGGGGGACTTTTCTATCGCACAGCAAGCCCGATGCATTCCTCCAGTTCAACCACCCAATTTGAATTCTGCTGATAATATCCCCATCTATTTCGCCATCACTCTGAACAATAGATCCAAGATATCTAAAACGTGTACTCTTATTAATGACTTGATTTCCCAAAGTCACGATCCCCTCACTTGGTCTATTGCTACTAAAATTACACTCCATATATTCAGTTTTTTATCTACTCAAGCGAAATCCTTAAGACTCTAATGTTGACCTCCATAATTCAAGTTTACCTTCAACTCTTTTAGTCTTATCAATAAGAAGAATATCATCAGCAAAAAGCATACACCAAGGTACATCCTCTTGCAAATGTCTAGTGAGAACATCCATGACTAAAGCAAACAGATTTGGGCTTAAGGCTGCATCCTTGATGTAATCCAACCGAAATAGGAAAATACTTGGTCAAACCACCTTGTGTTTGAACACAAGTAATAGCTCAGGCATACATATCTTTAATGATTTTTTATAAAATATCCAAGATTTATAGATGGGTATCACTTTTTTATCTTGTAGTAATACTGACTGAAAGATAAAATGATATTTGGAAGTATTTCAAAAGACTAAACTAGATTAATTTTAGTTTTAACATAGAACATTTTTGGGGTAACAAATAACTAAAAGGTCTACTTGATTTGAGCTTTTTTGTTTGTTTGTTTCAGAGAAGCTTTAATATGATTTCTAAAAAGAGCCGTCTTTAACATAGACCCACATTTATTGACATTCGTGGAAATTCTTCTCTTCCCGTTGAATAAGTTGCTCCTTCAAATTAAATGAGATGTTCATTTAATGTTTAATTATAAGATAATTTACAGCTGAATGTCATATTCTAGTAATAGGTTTGCTGTCCTCGTTTGCATTCAAAAGTTTGTAGAGTTGTAATTAAAATGGTAAGTTTTATTGTCCATTTTTTTTGGATTAACGTAACTTTATTTGTTCATTTTCATCAATATCTCAATTTAATCTTCTCTTTGGTTCCTAGCAAGTTCATATGTCTAAATCATTTTCATTATGAAACATCTTGTCTAGCTGATTACAATTCCATGTTTGGATCGAGGTAGATTAAATAAAAGAAACATGCCTGGACAAGAATTTGTGCCATAATTAAGCATGAATTGCACTTGATATAAAAATAAATTAGGAAACTTCAATCATTTTAGTGGGATTCTATCAACGCTTTTTTTGGTACTTTTGCACATCTCAAACTTTTTGCCGCAAGATTTTTTTTGGGTCGGTAAGCTTTTAAATTTTCATTATGCATAATGTTTCTCTCCGTGTTTCATTATATGATTGTTTATGATGCTACTCTAAATGATTATGCTTTATATGGAGCATCGGGGCCATATCCTCTGATGATTTTTTGACTTGATTGCAGAGCATAGACACGTGGGATCAACTAATTTCAACTTGCTGAGCAGTAGAAGCCATACAATATTTACACTGGTAATGGAATGAAATTTGATCGAATTTCTCCACTAGGAGTACATTTATTTATTTATTTATTATCTATAAAAGACTGGAGAAATGAATTAATGTTATTGCCAATTCCTATGAATTTATTTTTTCCGTTCACATTGCATGATAAGGTTTGTATTCAGTAGATCCGCTAGCCTTACAAGGCTGTCACAGTGCGGGTGTTTTTGGATTCAAGATCACACCAGCACCTCACACTACTGAGTAGAAAAATTCAATATAATGTGCATTGCTTGTTCCTAGGAGACCGGGGCTTTCTTTCTATTGTGATTTAATTACTTGGAGCAGGAAATCCCATTTTACATATATTTAAGTCTTTTAAGCACTTCATTGCTTGAGAGAGAAGTGTGATTTGTGAATCATGTCCATTTATAAAGTGTAATCCTTTTAATTTCTACCTAAAAAATAAAATTAGTAGGATTTGATTATGGAGAGAGCCGTTAGCGTTAATGAACTTAACCAGACATCATTTCATTTAGTAAACAAATAAACAATTCTCAGAAGATTAAAGTAATGGGCATGAATACATATTCATTTTGTACGCATGGACTCTATCAGAAAATTCATAAAGAGGACCTCAAATAATTTGGAAAAGAATAATAATTGATGATGAGATGTGAACTATAGAACATGAATAGAGGATGAGAAAATTTTTGAAAATTTTCTTAAAGAATAAACATTAGTTAGAGTGATTGAATGACATCTCAATAAGCAATGTTAAAGAGAGCTTTTTGTAATTGAAAATCCCATCGCGCCATTGCTTTCTATTTGATTTCCTAAATTCAAGATCTCAAACTTATTATTGAGAATTGACCTATGTTTAGCAACTTCTATGGTCTTATTTTATGTGAAGCACAAAAGCGAGATTTATTGGTTGTGCCCTTTGCTATATTATTTGTGTGAAACTCCTGCATAATTTCTATCATTTGAGACTCATACTCATCAAAGCTTTTGGTTTCTTTCCTTCCTCTTCTATTGCCACCTCCTTGATCGGTGGGATCACTATTGCATGCTTATCAATCTGCGGTGGGATCACTATTGCATGCTTATCAATCTGTGGGATTTTTAAATTATTTGAGGTTGTAAATATTTATAATTCCAGGTGCTGGGCAAGGTAAATTCCTTGTATTTGAAATATTTTTTTATGTTTAATTGGTTGTAAAATAAATTTAGGAGATTAGTTTTTATTGTTTGGATTGCTATAAAGCGGAGCCTACTTTCTTTTAATAAGTTTTTTTTTTCTTGAGCATCGAGGGGTGAGTGGTGGTGGGTTGCTGGAGATGACAAGTGGCCTATGGCCTATGGGTGGCAGAAGTCGGCGGTGGCTAGTGTAGTTGTGGGGAAGGTGATGAGCCATATTTAGAATTTGTTTGGATTTGACGCTTTTGGAATGTACCAAAAATGAACTAAATGATGAATTTCAAGATCTTGAATGAAATGCTTTGCATTTGGCCTCTTTCAACCAAACAGTCAAAATTTAAAAATTCCTATATTTGGTTTAGTATACATTCAAACTCATTTAAACAAAACCTATGTAATTATTGTTTGGAGCACTTATTAATTGTGGACCATTGTATACCATTTATTGCATGTTTCTCATTAGAAGCTCTCCTAAGATTGTATAAATATTACATTAATGTCAGAAAGATATAATCAGCCATAGGCTATTTCTCTTCGTTGTATTTTCACTACAACATCATTCATTTTTGAATTATCACAATCCTGCAGCCTTCAATGCTGCTCTCTCTTTATTTCCTCCATTTTCCTATGTCCACAACCTTCATCACTGCATTGCCGCAAATGTTTTAGCAGTCCGATAATTATAACCTTTATTACTGCATTATCACATTTCTTTCTTATGCTATTTTTTCATGCGAATATAACCATTATTTTCCTTTCCTTGGATAGCATGAACAATACAAACATTCCTTTGTCTTGTGTTCTGTTGGAATTGAGAATGCAATCTATATTGAACAAAAGAGCTGCAAAATATTCATTGAACTTAGTGGTTGAATGGAAAAAAACTACCTAAAGTGGTCACACATGGTTTGTAGGTTCTTTAAAAAAAAAAGAAAATTAGGTCATTTATAAGGTGAACAAAATAAAGGCTTTCTAAGAGCTTCTGAATAACTTTTGCATCAGGTTTTTGTACTGTAGCCTCTCAAGTATTAACATATCTTCTCATGCCTTCAAATTCTTAGAGATTATCTTTTCCAACTTCGGGATTATTGATTTAGGAGTTATAGATCAACTAAAGTGGAGAGAAAAAAAAAATCAAAATTTAATATTTCAAATCTGACAAGCTCACGAGTTAACTATGCATGACCCGACCCGGTAAGCTAGCATAGGCGAGGCGGGAACAGACGGTCGGACGATATAATCATAATCTAAATCTATTTCCTTTTCATTGAAAGAGCCATTAAACATCAAAATATCTATAAACTAATATATAATAAACATAGATACCTTTCTTCTTGTGTCTCACGTCTACGGTGGACATTTCCGTCTCTTTTATTTATTTGATTATCTTAAACTTTCCTGAAAGAAAAGTTAGAGCAACGGTAAGTCAAAGCTTAGCAAGTAACACATGCCTCCAAACTATAGTAATTCAAGGTAGGAGTAATATGATAGATGTCACTTTTCTTTTAAACATATCATAAATTTTATTTCTTATAAACATATCATTTAAACATATGCATAAATCATAAATTCAATCATCAAATTCAGTTTACATTCATCATATCAGTATTCGTAACTTTCTCATTTCATATATAGTACAACCATCACAGAAGCCACCGTCTAATACCAATGAAGGTACTCTTTTACCATATCTTTTTTTATAACCTTTATCATTTTAACGTGCACGAGTACAACGTCCCCAGCTAATATCATAAAGGGGTGAGCTCCATCATTTCAATATGCACATGCAATCACTCAACATATCAATCAATATCATATTCATATATCATAATATTAAGCTTTATTATATGCCTTATACAGTAATATAGTGAATTACATAATATGCGAGATATGAAGCATGAAATTATTTGAAATGCAGTAAAATGAATAACTTTCAATAACAATTAAATATAAATTGAAACGATCAAAATACCATAATATAGAAACATGTTTACTCACTTGAAATTGGGAAAATTGATTTTCACAATTGATCTCCTTCCTTCAAGGTCACAACAACTAACATCTATAAGAAACAATTTCATATTCATAGGTTAATGCTAATCATCTCAAACTTAATTATTCTATTTCTATAAAATTACCATAGGCTCATTTTTCTCTCTCTAAATTGTATAATAATACTAATCACTCAAATCAACCTATTTCTAAAGCATAAATTAAATTAAGATAAACTTAATTTTTGGATTTAAATTAAATTAAAAATTACAAAAATGGCATTTTGCGTAAAAACCCTAATCTATACTATTAGAAACCCCTTCCTATGATCATTTGGAACATTACTCCTCAAGAAACTTCTTAAAAATCAAATAATACGAAAAAGCCCTAATTTTTTCAACTCAACATTTTTGGGGAAAAACCTCATTTTCATGCTTAAGATGATCTCCTAAACATTTCCTATAAATCTCCTAAAGAAATGTGAAGTTTTTGTCAAACCCTAGCTTTTTCTTTTCAAAAAAATGTCATGAAAAATAGGGAATAACTTGATTAGAAATTTACCCTAGTCTCCTTGAATATCCTTCTTCGATTTTCCCTAAGTTTGGCTGCCAGAATATCGCCGGCGGAGTTGCCCACGAACCTCCCGTCGCCTTGCCCGTCCGCCCTCTTGTTTCGCCGAAAGAAACAGCCGCACGAATGAAAGGGGACCGAATCCATTCGGTCCCCTTAAAGCTCTAATCGGCTTAGGGAAGAGCAAATGACCAATTTGCCCTTACATGCCTCATATTCACTTTAATAGTATTAAGGGTATTTTAGGCATATTAAAATTTCTATGATTTTTAATTTCAAATCTAAGAAAAAGTTTCATATAAGTCCTTTTATATCATTTTGCTTGAAATTTTATGTACAATTTTATAAAATTAGTTTCGTCAAAATCCGACGACTTTGAAAAATTCACTTAAATTTCATCGTGGCGCATTGAAAAACGTGCGATGTCTAAAATTGACATTTTCGGGTTTTACAAACTAGTTGAGCTAGATCAAGCACAAGCTCAAGCTCTTGCAATGTACAAACTATAATCTAAGCTTGAGCTTGTTGCTCGATACCCTTGACTCACAAGCTTTTTGGGGAATCATGTTTGAGTCGGATTGCAAACCGGCTTGGACACCTCTAACCTAAATTATTCACCAACTTGTTTTCCATTCAAAAGATAAGTAAATATTTTAGTGCGGTATTATATCTTATTCTTCACATTATGTCTTTTCGAAAACAAAGCATGAAGCCATGAAGAGGACTATTGGGCTTGCTAATAAAAAGGATGGCTTTCTATCACCTTGGGGAATGTAATGATGAGGAAAATTTCATTGAATCTTCAATAGTTTCTCTTTTCATATAAATTCTTAAATATAATATAGAAAAATATGGCTTTAACACCTACACCTTTGGCTAACATTATTTATTATTCTCAAAATCATGTTTCCTTTATTATTGAAACAAATCGATATCAAGAAATTTCATTGTGTTGTTTTTAAATTAACAAAATTGAAATTTACCAATTTCCTGATTATTGACATAAGAACATTTTTTTCTTTTTTCTCTCATGCATAGTGATATATGGGAACCTATCTCTACATTTATCATCTCTAGGGATCGGCAGTTTGTGTCCTTTACCAATGATTTTATCTCAGTCATGTATCTTTTTACTAAAAGTGAAAAGTGATGTCAGCACTACCTTTACCACCATTTTTAACATGATCAAAAATCAATTTGGTGTTAAAATTAAAAAGAGTCAGATTCAACAATATCAAAAACTAGTTTAATCATTATTTTTTGTCTGACTTCCAATAAAAAGGAATAATACATGAATCCTCTCGTGCATGTACACTCCAGTAAATGGAGTGGTTGAATAAAAGAACAACCACTTATTTGCTTCCATAAGGGCTCTCATTTGTGGGAAAATATCTTAAAATAATATTGGGGGAAATAGTTTTAACACCTGCCTACTTCAGAAATTGAATACCTACAAGGGTCTTTGGGTTCAAGGGCTCTAAACAAATCCCAAACAAAAAATTTCTCCGTTTCAATACCTAAAACTATTGTTTTTCCAAAATAGAAGTTTTATCTTTGGTCATACACATTCTCAAAACAGAGGAAAACATGATCTTTAAGCAATGGAATGTGTTGTTATTGGCTATTCTCTCCCACAAAAAGAGATAATGCTACCGTTCGCCTAATAGAAAGTTGTACGAGTTCATTGATGTCACTTTGAATGAAAAAGATGACTATCTTGTTGCCAAATGGTGTATTTTTTGTATAATATTTAATGGTGTGGTTCGAAAGGTTCTCTAAGATAATGGTGAAGATGCCATAAAATTAAGTCATGGAGATAATATGTTATTTGTGAAATACACAACTTCAATGAGATTCATTGCTCTATTTGTGTATGTTGATAATATTATCATTCAAGTAATGACTTGAAACTAATAGAAAATTTAAAGATAGAATTGCTTAAAGAATTTGAAGTAAAAAAATTTGATAAGCTAAAGTAATATCTTGGCATGGAAAAAAAATTTGAAGTAAAAAAATTAGATAAGCTAATGTAATATCTTGGCATTGAAAATTCATATTCATATCAAAGCAAAAATATATAATATATTTGCTAAAAAGAAAAGGATAATTCAGGATGCAAACTAGTTGCTGAAAAACACAACAATACAAAAAAGCTCTTTTCAAAGAGCATCATATGACTTACGTATATATATCATATTAGGCTTAAAATTGCCTATACTAGTTGTATGGTGAACCCATTCATGCACAATCCTACAGAATCACACCTTAGAATAATACATAGAATTTTACCTTTAACCGTCTGATCATCTTAACATCCACTGTAAATGGCTTGACCAAGTCAACTGATACAGTCGAAAGTTTCTATAGTTCCTTCAAAATAGTTATTTTTGTTGTTAATGACCAAATGATCGTACAACTACTTCTTTATCATATAATATGATTATAATCGTACAAATGATTATGTATCTATTCTGTGAATTGCTATGACTAAAAATTATCCATATTATTTCAGAATTGCTAGTGCAAATACCAAATCTTGACAATTTGAGAGGCTTAAACATGGATAAAATATTGTGAACAATTTTTTATGATTACTTAAAACATGACCATGTCTTCTGGCAAGCTGATCTACTTTGTACAGCTTTTTGAAAAAAGAGGAGAAAAGGAGAAATTTAGGCATGGTGTCATTGAATAGAAATATATAATTGTATAGGATAGTCATTGTTTACTATTCGTATTTGGTTTCCTCAGATTAGTATTGATTGATCTAATAAATTGATTTGCAATTGGCTCGGAATAAGATGCATAACAGTATGGATTTAGATTCATATGAGATGCCTTTTGCGACTTAAAAAGTTGTGATGGATATTGTAGTGATTTCCTTAAAAAGGATTTTCAATAAAATTTTGTGGACTAATATTTAAGAACAAAGGCATTGTTCTCTATAATGCCAACTATAAAGAAATCAAATTTGATGGGTCATACAATAAATAAAGCTATGGGAGAGAGTAACGAAATATTAGCTTGAAAATTACATTAATTTTGGAAATTAAATTTAGTTGCATGCCAAGAAGATCTATAACAAAAGTGATTTTAATATTTAGACAATTAATTGAGTAATATAGAGAACAAATAAAGGCTTTTCATATGATTTTTTTTGGTCTGGAGGATGCATGTGATCGAGTAACCTGGCATTGATTTGGCGTGCATTAGAGAGAAGGATTTTATGAGTTTTATTGATCCTGAGAATGAATATTATTGACTAGCATGGGAATTTATGTGGTGTGTATTAAAGCATAAGGGTATGTCAAACATATGTTGACAATATTAAAGATATGCATGATCGAGAACTGATTAGAATTATAAGTAATTGTGGAGTGACCCAAGATTTTTCATGGCCATCAATTTATTTCAAGATGCAATATTAGGTCAATGTCTTTTTTAATGGTTATGGAGATGTTTACGAAGTATTTTTAAAATGAGGTGCCTTTTGCATTTCATTTATAGATGATATTGTTCTAATTTATGAGACATCTAAAAAAATTAATGAAAAAATAAGAATAATGGGGGAAATATATAGGGGATAGAAACCATAGAATTTGTTAAACAAAAATTGCATATATTATATGTAATTTTAGTGGTATGATATAATATATTTAATTATTATTCAATATTATTGGAGAACATGGTGATAACTAGGTGCAACAAGTTTAAAGAAATAGGGTATATTATGCAAAAAAATGGATATATAAATGAGGATGTTACTCTGAAAGTTAAGGCTATATGCTTAAAATAGAGCAGTGTTGTGAGAATTTTTTTAATAAAATAATATCATTGGGGCTTAAAGGTAAATAAACATTAACCAAGTTTGTAATCTTACATGGATTTGGTTGTTGGGATATGAAAAAATTAGGGGTGTCAATTTCGGGTCACGGGTCGGGTTCTGGTCGACCCGAAACTGACCCGACACTATTTGGGTCAACCCGAACCCGACCCGTTTCTACAAACAGGTCGGTTTTTCGAACCGAACCCGACCCTCTTCGGATTCGGGTCAACCTGACCTGACCCGAATGACCAGAGTCGAACAAAAAACTGCTAGTTTTTTGGTCCAAAAATGGGCCAAACTTCGCTTTTCGGGTCAAGCTCGGGTTGTCGGGTAAAACAAAAACGGGTCTTTTGGGTCAATTTTGGGTCAACGGGTCTACCCGAACCCGACCCAATTTTTGAAACGAGTCGAATTGTTGAAACCGAACCCGACCCATTTCGGGTTCGGGTCAACCCAAACCCAAAATTTTTGGGTTGGGTCCAATATTGACACCCCTAGAAAAATATTAATATTTAAGTTAAACATGATAGAAATGCGAATGTTAAGATTGATGTCTCAAAAAAATTAGAAAGTATAAATTAAAAAATGATTCTTTTATAATGAAAGGTTGGAGTGTTAGAGGCGACTTAAAATAGATTATTAGTTGGTTTGGTTATGTACAACAAATGATAGAAAATGCACTTTTTTGATAAGTTGATAAAGTTGGCGTCAGAGGATTAGAAAGGAAAATGAATAGATCTAGATTTACATGTATAGAAGTTGTTCTAAACGATAGTGAAGAATATGTTTAACACCTCTGCTGACACTCAAATACTCAACAAAATTGAATGAAAAATCAGGATTCATAATTTCTGCCTTAAATAGTTGGTATTAGACTATTAGGTTTATATGGTAATTAGTATCTCCTGCATGATGCCTACAAATAGCAGATATTCTTGGCCAATTAGTTTTTCTTTTGCTGCATGCACTGACGGCTACCATGTAAATGCAGTTTGTTTTTAATTTGAATAGTTCTTGAATTACCATTACCACTGGTCAGTTGTGCTGTCATTTACAGCCACATTTCTCTTGCTTCGGTGAAAAAAATAAATATTGAATGGTTCTTTTTTTCCCATAATATTCATCAGGCTCTTCGTTTACTAGTATAGGCTCATAAGTTTTGCATCATTGGGCTGCTTTCAATATTATTACTACATTTTCGATGTGAGTTCAAATCTTTCTAGGAAAAGTTCTTTTAATGCTACTGATTTTATTGCAATGCTTCTGGTAGACAATAGAGAGCACTCCCTGCGGCGAATGTAGTGAAGATGAAGCAGTTAATCTTTCTCAGCTTGTAAGTGGGATTCCATTATGCTCCTTTTCATCTTGCTCAAGTTGCTTAAGGTTAATTAATTCAGTGCCTTAAGTGTGGATTTTACTTACTGTTATTGGGCTTCAAAATTGATGACTTCTTTTTTATACTTATTACCTATGCACCACATTTTCTTACCATTTTTATGAATTTGTACAAATCTATTAATTTCTTATGCAGCTGTATTGTACTTATATATGCAGAACCTAATCGATCTAGCAGGTTCAGAGAGCTCAAGAGCTGAAACTACAGGATTAAGACGGAAAGAGGGGGCGTACATCAATAAAAGCTTATTGACACTTGGAACTGTATGTACATTATTTGGTTAATCTTAATATGCTGCTTGACCATTTAAAGTTTCATTGGCTTTTAATGCTTCTATTTTTTTGTGCACTGGATGTTGTTGCTCTTTTAATCCCTTTATATGCTGTCTTTATACTTTATGTTGCATGCTTGGCAATGATAGTATCTTTGTAAGGTTTTGAACAATTCACTTTTAACTGTCAATTCTGAGATAAGTGTTAGTATGAAATCAATATATCTATTGCTGACTCTGGCTTTAAACATTCCAGTGAAAAGTTTTGCCAATTAACTTGATCTGCTCACTCTTCCTTGTGAAATAGCTTGAATTTATGGCTTGATCAAGTATTGGTATAATGCTGTAACATAGATTCTTGGCTGTACGTATTCCACTATATTTTTTATTCACATGCTGTCAGGTGTTTGTTTCTCTTGCAATTTTGTTTAAGTGGACCATAGCTGTGTTCTCTCAGTGGTGAGTTTCAAATGCGATTTCTTTAAGAAGATCTAGCTTATTTTAAAAAGTTCAAAATCATACATTGTGGAAGATCTTCACATTGGTATCTTGTTCGTCCAAACTTTGCTTTTGCTTCTCGCATCAGTTTGCTTCAGACGGCATGTCAAAGTTAAAAGTTCCTTGAAAATTTGACTTATATATGCTGGTTCTTTTATAATTATATAGAGGCATTAATTTATTATGCATCCAGGTAAATTTTATGTATTTAGGACTGGCTTTTTTTTGTTTATTTATTTATTTTTGGTTTTTTTTGAAATTATATAAAGGCATTATTTTTTGTTATTTATTTATTTATTTATTTCTTTTCATATTGATTCTAAATGTATATTGAAATAATCAGACTATTTCTATCATTTTATTTTCACTTTGTTGTAAAATTTAGTATCGTTATTAGAAGAACAACTAGTGTGGCATGAGAATGAGAATGTTAAGATGGATGTGAGATAATCATGGAAATGAAAAGGTTAAGATGGATGTGATATTTATTAAGAATTATGGAACGAGCTTATTTACTAAGCATTATGGAAATGAGAATGTTAAGATGGATGTGATATGATCATGAATGGTAAAATAATGATTGATTATATTAGAAGAACTTGTGTGGCATCTATTGAATAAATCTTAATTGAAAATAAGCTTTAGATAGTTTGAACATTTGCAATGACAGGCGTATATCCATCCATTAGGTGGGTAGGATTAAATAAGTGATGCACGTTTAGGGAGCAAGTGTATAGCTAGTAACAAGCATAGATGTTGTTTATATTGATCTGTAAAGAATATCTTTAACATCTTAGGTTTTGCTTAACAAAATCAATTGAAAAATAAGGATTCATAAAGTTTATCTTGAACTAACTAGAATAACATATGATAACTTGACTCGCCGAAGTTTTCCAAGATGAAGCTAGCAAACTATCACCACAATTGCAAAGTAATAACAGAAGTACAAGACATGCCTATTCCTTCTGTTATGCATCTCTAGTGAAATGGTACCTTGCATTATTATTATTCATATTTATGGCTTTCAACTAGAGTTTGCCAGGTCAAACTTTTTGATGCAATACATGTGATCTTATTTTCTTAGGTTATATCAAAATTGACTGAGGGAAGAGCTAGCCATATCCCATACCGTGACTCAAAATTGACGCGTCTGCTTCAATCATCATTGAGTGGTCAAGGGCGCGTGTCTGTGAGTTTGATGAATGTGTTTTCTATGGACACTTTTATTTTGAGCTAAAATTATAATGACATGCATATTTCTTGTCTTTGCAGCTTATATGCACTGTTACTCCATCATCTAGTAATGCAGAAGAAACACACAACACATTGAAATTTGCTCATCGTGCAAAATGCATTGAGATTTTGGCATCTCAGAACAAGGTATGCGCTCTAGTTGGTAGTGTTATTTTTGCTGTAATTATGAAAAATCCTTCATAGAGTTGGAACTTTTTCTTAGTACTACTTCTATATTATATGCATTAACCTATTTACATTTGGTAAGATATTTCTTAAGTAAAATCGTTTCTAACATAGATGGGGCTTTGTTATGCAGATTATTGATGAAAAATCATTGATAAAGAAATATCAAGTTGAGATACGTTGCCTAAAGGAAGAATTGGAACAATTGAAAAAGGGTATGTTCTCTGTTAATGCTCTAAAAGACAATGGAGGAGATGATATTGTACTTCTAAAGCAAAAGGTACGTCATGAGTCATTATTATCTAATTATTGTAATTCTTGAGTGGGTCCAACTAATAGTTTTGTAACTCTCAACAGAATATTCAAAGCATTGAGGTCTCATCACCTTCTCATTTTCCCTGGTGTCGAGTAGAAATGCTTTGAAAAGTAGTTATATGATTATTGTGGAAAAATCAATCTTGGTTAATTTTGTCTCCATCAATGTTTCACTTAGCCCAATAGATGTGCACTTTACTCACTTCATGCCACCTAGGTGATCCATGGGATTATTATTTCCACTTCAATCTATGGATTATTGTAATTATTTTATAATTATTATTATGAGTACTCATCAATTCCTGGACTATTATAATTATTATTTTGATTTTGTATGTCTTCTATTAGAACTTCTTCTAGGTTTATATAAATACTGCGTAAATGTTGGAATGAAATATTCAGTTATCTTCAAATTGTACCATAATATTAGAGCCTTAGCCTTTTTACTTAGCATTTTTATAAGTCGCTACCTTCATCGCTGCATTGCGTAAAGCTGCAAGACTCATGGTTGATGGTCTCTTTTTGTTTCACCTAATCTTCTTATTGGCAACTTTCATCTATGTAGCCTTATATTTTTCATTTTATTCTTTGCAACAAATTTCTTCCACAAATTTCCTTCCCATGGATCGCAAAACCCATTTTCCCTTAGTCTTAGATTCATTTGGAATCAAAGTTGGTCATCCAAATCCAACATTCGGATTGCAAAACATCCATTCAATATATTGTTTGAAAGGAAAGAATTACCTCAAGTGGTCTCAATTGGTTCACATCTTCTTTGAGGAAAATTGGACAATTTAATTGGCACAGAAATGATCTAAAATTTAATTCGTGGGATCAATATGACTTTGGTGATGTCCTGGTGTTATGGAATCCCATGGTTCTTGAAATAAGTTACATCATGTCATGACTCGGCTCAGAAGCTAGGAGTATTGAAGTAGGAGCACGCTATCAAATGTAGTTTACAAATTTATGTTATCAATTTTAACTAATAAAAATTTATTTTTCTCTGTATTTTCTCATAATAATAATTTCCAATATAAATTGAAAGAGCCTCAAATTCCATCTTTATGCCAGGAACTATGTTTTTTTATTTATTTCATTATATGTGGGAATCTTCCCTTGATATTGATATCAGGACCTATATAATGTACATACCAAAATTTTCTCTTTTTTAAAGGAACGACCCCACCTAGCATGTGGAGACATTTATAGGACGTGTTTGATGTTGCTTTTGTGATTATGTAGAATCTGAAACAAAATACGATCATCCTAAATGAAATTTTACCAAAGAAACTTGTTTTGGCAGTATATATTATAGTGAAAATTTTATGATAGATCAGTTTAGAAGATATTTAGTAAAAAATATCCGTATATGTTAAATAGGTACAAGATCCCAGTTTTGTGTAGAAAAAATATGTGGTAAAATGGACAAAAAGTCTCAGGAGAATTATTTATGATAATTACTTCAATTAATTACTTGACGACATAACCTGTTTGGTTGCATGTCTAGCTAGCTAATAGTCGTAGGCTTAACAAGGAGCTTATAATTATTATTATTATTATTTTTTGCTTTAGTCTCAAGCTATTTGGTTGTTAAATGTTTTTGTAATATAAACTAAATTTTGCTTATTGCATGTCTTTTGGGATTTATTTCTTGGTTTGTAAATGTGTCGTAATTCTATTTACTCTGATATGTTTCTCCATGTTTTATAACTAAAATTGTTCATCTAAAAGAGTAATATCATTCACCATTCCTTGGACATTAACAATTCTGATATAATTATCATCACATGTTGAAAGCTTGAAGATGGTCACGTGAAGATGCAATCTAGGCTTGAGCAAGAAGAAGAGGCTAAAGCTGCTCTGCTAGGAAGGATTCAGAGATTAACGAAGCTGATTTTGGTTTCAACAAAAACAGCACATTCTCCAAGGTTCCATCAACGTCCTGTTCCAAGAAGAAGGCATTCCTTCGGAGAAGAGGAGGTTGAGTGATTTATCGTCGTGTCAAATGTCTTAATCGAAATCCAGGAGTCATGCTATTTTTTCTGTTGCTTGTTCTGACAATAATTAATGTTATTTTGCAGCTTTCATATCTTCCATTTAGAAGGCGTGATATGATATTGGATCATGAAAATGGTGAATTCTTTGGTTCGTTTGAAGGATATGGAGAGACAGATTATTCATCAAAGGAAGAGAAAAAGAACAGAAAGCCTGGTCTCTTAAACTGGTTCAAGCTTAAGGTATGCATCTTCTTTGTAACTTATGGCACATAATTGCTTAACTCTTGCATTATATAAACTTGTGCATGACATAGGGTCTCTTCAATTTTCCTGATTGTTCCATTCCTTATGAGCAGCTATATTTAACAAAGCTTCCAAAAGTCATTTCAACGTATTGGCCTCCTTTATATTATTTATTTGATAATTCTACGTTTTCATGTTTTCTCTTGTTGTTTTCTGGGTTAAAGATTGTTTTTTCCTTGGATAAAGTTCAATAAATATCTACCTTTTCATAGAACTTCAGCAATTGAATAATATATTGGATGAAATTATGCTTTATAAGATATCGAATAGAACATGCTCAAATCATTGTTTCACAGCTTGCTTACTTTAAATTTTTTATTTATTTTGTCGTACATATTGTTTTCTTATGGTCCTATTTGATTCATATGTGATCCTTGCACTTCATATTGTTTGCCTCTCATCATCATGAAATCACCCATCCGCTTTCTTAACTAAGGATAGAAAAATAAATCTCTCTCTCTCTCTCTCTCTCTCTCTCTCTCTCTCTCTTAGATGATTAGAAAAAATGAAAACAAAATTATTCATGCATGCTAGAAGTAGTCATATACCAATGGAGGGTTGTACATGCATCCATCCCTGACTATGTGCTGCTTCCACACACTCAACTGAACATACGTCAAAATTTGCTCCAAGGGACATAGGAGAATACTTCAATGGCTAAGTACTTAGGGGGTAGAATTTTGGTAAATTTTGTGATGGAAAGTAAAGAATTAAATTGAGATTATTGGGGTGAGCAAAACTTCACATTGATTATAGGAGTTCTCTAATTGTAATCATCATATCATTATTAGTTTTATCTTGTTTCTTTGGGCAACTTGGTTAATTCTCATTTTTGTTTATTTGTGCTTAGTTTTTTAAGCGGTTTTAAACATGATTCATGATTTTTTTTCGGACTACCTCTTTCCATGTTATGTTTGATTTGTTATTTTTTCTCTAATCTTCAATATTAATTTTATGATAAAAGTACCAAAATGATCACTCAACAATTTGTGAGGGACCAAAATGGTCCCTAACTCTTTTGAGGGACCAATTTGGTCCCTAACTCTTTAAAAAGGGGTCTTTTTGGTCCTAACATCAAATTTAAGGATTAATGGTGTTAAATCAAAAGGTATTTTGTTCATTTTTTATTAAATTATTTATTAAATATAATTTTCAAGTAATAGTATTTTTTATTATTAAACATTTCTTTAATACAACAACAACATCAAGCTTTTATCCCATTACGTGGGGTCGGCTATATGAATCATTTTTCTCAATTGTCTTATTAAAAGTCAAATTCTCGTTTAAATCTAATAAAGAAAGGTCATTCCTAATATTTTCTAACCAATTTGTTTAGGTCTACCTCTACCTTTCTTAACATAAGTCAAATCTAATACCTCTATTTTCCTAACCGGGTCATCGAAAGGCCGACGTTTTATGTGACCAAACCATCTAAGGCGATTCTCTCTAATATTATCTACTACTGGAGCTACTCCAACCTTTTCACAGATATGCTCATTTCATATCCTATCTCTAAGGGTAAAGCCACTCATCCACCTAAGCATCCTCATCTCTACCACACTTAACTTAGTATTATGCTTCTCTTTTAATGGCCAACATTCGGTACCATAAAGCATTGCAGGCCTCACCACCATCTTATAGAAAAAAATTATTAATAATTTCTCGAATTGTATTTTTTTCCCAAATTTTCATGTAGTTGCGATCATCTTGGCCTAAGCCTTTTGTTATTAGCTCCTTTGCCTCATTCATGGCATTATAAATGAAATAGACCATTTACTTGTTCTCCATAGCAACCATTCTCAATGCATGAACAAAGGACTTTATAATTGTGGTAGCATAATTTACTTTTTAATCAAAATCTCATATTTATAATAATATCTCATGTCTTACCGTTTAGATCTCACTGCCCATGCACAACATAACAACTGTATAATTGAACATATTAGCTTGTGTCAAGGATGCTTTGTAAATTTAAGATCATTATTGAAAATTTAGTGGTAGTAGGTTGAATGATCCTTTTTTTTTTTTAATAACTTCATCATGGCTAAAAAGTAAAATCCAATTGTGATTGTAGATAAATTTATCTTCTTTCTTTTAATCAAAGCATTCCTAGGTTGTGTCAAATCCCCAAGTTTTTCAAGTATTAAGTGAATATAATGTGAGGTATTTGGAGTCCAATAATGATGTTTTATCTTCTCTATTAATTTATTATCGCGTTATGTACACTTGCATTCATTGGTGATAAATTGGACAACATGATACTCAATTTCCACAATAGTCACTTGGGCTTAAGGCTATCAATGTTATAAGGTGCAATTCCTCTTTAACTTTAAAATTTATCCGTACATCTCTTTTGCCCAGGATGGCATAAGCCTCAAGGTTCTTGTATGCATGAGTCTAAGGTGCATCTCGTTTGCTCAAATTTAAACATTAGAGGTTAAGGCCCTTCGCAGTTCAACGTGAGGTCCCTAGCTAGCCGAGAATCTAAGGTTGCCTAAGGAAGATTTGGGGTGCCTACTGCAGCTGTTGACATGGTGACGGTGTTGGTAGAGTAGCCAATCATCAACTAAGTTAGGAGGCTGGATCTTACCTCCTCAGCTGATACTCTAAGTGTCAAAGCCTATCTAGCTTAATCTAGAGGCATACCATGTCTACAATGTAAGCAAGACAATGGAGATGTCCTAGGTGGTTTTTAGGTTGGTTGGTGGAAGAAGACCTGCTAAGAATAGGTGTGTATGTTTTTTTTTTTATGTATGCTGGTAAGACTTCTAATTTTGTGTCATTTGGTTGGCATGGGTTTCAACCCAAGAACTTGCTCAAGTTAGGAAGGGTCTAAGATCAAATTTAGGCAATTGGGCTTAGTCTAAGAGGTCTCGCTTGATCAAAGGAGCTTGTTTAGGATATCTTAGTTATGTCCATGGTGAGCTAAATGATGAGCTTAGCTAGTTCATTTAGATTCAAATCTAGCTAGGGACTCATTGTTGAGCCAAAGTATGCCAGTTGTGGTCAATTTACTAAATTGACTAGTTTTGGGTTAGTTAGGCATACCCACAACTCACTTGGTCAATATGCAGTGTTGATGAGGACATTAGGACATGGAAGATTTATTAGAGGCGAGGCCGTCGATCTACGGCAACGATTTCACCGCTTTACTTTTAATTTTTCATATTTATTATTGATGTATTAGTTTTTATTTATGAAGTTTTATTATGCTTTCCATTTTTACCCTTACTTAAGGGCTTAGGTATGTGTAAGACCTAGGGGTATTGTAGTATTTTTTATTTTCTCATTGTATGGGCTATTTAAAGCTTCCATCTTCTTCTTTGAGGGGTAATGAATGAAATCTACGAAAATTCCTGCACATGTGTTCTTTGGAGAGTTGTGAGAGTTTTAGAAGAGAGCTTTGGAGAAATCCCTAGGGAGGGAAATTGGATCACCCACCAACCTTGGAAGCGTCCGGGTTCGTGGTTCTTACGTCTTTCTTTATTTTCTTTTCTTTGTCCCTCCTCCCTTCACCGCCGTCGGCTCTACCTCTTCCTCCACTAATCTGTTGGCCTCCTAGCACCACCCAACTGGCCCTCAAACCCCTTACCCCTCTTGTCATCGGCCCCACCATCCTCTTCACCGTCCCCCTCACTTTCCCCTCCAAATCGCCAACCCACAAATCACCCCAATCCCCTTTCCCCCAAACCGTGGCTCCACGTTTTTCCCCCACCTAAGCTGTCGGCCTCTCTTGCCTCTTTCCCCTACATTGCCTTATTTCCTAATTTGGGTTTGAACAAAATTTGGGGCAGATTTTGAATTCAATCCAATTGATTTGAAATTCAAATCCTTTCCTAAAATCTCAAATCTATTTTTGGAAAGTCATCAAATCTATTCCAAATCAAATTTGATTAAATCCCTTTCCCTTATTTGAAGTTCCCTGTTTTTGGAAGGTGTTAAATTTCTCTCCAAATCTCCCTAGCTCCATTAAGCCGCTGGCCCCACCTTCTTTAAGTCCTTAGATTTTTTTCCTAACCCAATCTCTCCTCTTGGAAATAATTCAAACCTCCTCTCCCCAAATTCAAATTGTTTCCTAAAATAAAATTCTATTTTTAGGAAACATATCCAATCAAATCCAAATCAAGTTTGAATGGGATTGGAATTAATTCTTCTCTCCTTAATTGGAATTCCCAAAGAGGCAAGCATTAAACCCTCTCCCCAATCCCCTCCACTCTCTTGATGCCGTCGGCCCTATGGTCCCTCTCCCAATTGATTTCTTTCCAAAACTCTAAGCTCCTATCAAAGAAATTAATTCCCTAATTCCTCCTTCCCTCTCCTCCCTCTCTCTACCGGCCACCCACATCAAACCCTAGCAGTCCACTACAAGTCCTCTTCTCTCAGTTTTTCTTCTCTTCCTGAAGTTTCCAAGTGCTGTCCAGATTTCTGAACACCACCTGCAGGCTGTCCAGGAATTTCAGCCAACCCCACTGCTATCCGGAAAAAGATTGGCTGTTGTTCTGAACTTCAGCATTAGGAAAATTGCTGTCCAAGAACTCCGGCATCTTCCCCTGGCCCCCCTACCCACGGGAGTCCTCTTCAAAGTTCAAACTGGTGTCCAAGAAGGACAACTTGCTGTCCATCCATTCCAGCAAGAGGATATCAACCGTTTCGCTGCCATCAAGCCACCAACAGCTTTCCAAGCTTGCGAGAAGGTGGAATCTTAGCAAGGGGTGAACTCTTACCTTCTCTTTTACCTTCCTCGATTGATCCTTGCTTGTGGTTTTATTTGGTTCATGCAAAATTTTGCCAAGCTTCGCTAAAAGCCTAGTATTTAGTAGGAAGCGTGTGAGAGATCTTTCATGACACTATTCTTATTGTTAGATTAGGGATTTCTTGTTGAAACCTATTTCGTATGCAACATTAGGAGTAATTGATTGTTATGTGGTTTTTAGTTT